CATCCTTTGGTGCCAGAGATAAGGAAATACTTGAAATAAAATGACATTTTAAAAAGATGGGGACGTGTTGAAAGGATATAGAAACCAACCTGAATTAGTTTCTCATGGCCAAAGCGAGAACTATTTGAGCATCAAAATAAATAACAAGAGTATTATAACACACATACAAAAAATAAATGTTCATGATAAATACAATGATAATATAAATAATAAATGATTTAATGAATAAATAAAAGGGGAAGAAGGGACAACTCCTCCTTAAAGAAGAATTGTAATTAATAAGTGTAGAAGAAATGAGGGAAATGAAAACTCACCATTAGAACATTACAGTAGTCATTGCTGCAGTGAAGATCTACCAGGAGGGGCACCTGCGTGGCTCAGTTAAGCTCAGTTTATTAATTATAGTGGAGCAAATAGTAACTTTATAACAGGGAAACCCAACAGAAAGCACCCTAAGAGATCAAGGTTAATAATCCCACCACTAATTAGACGTGCTACCATGCATCCCCTGATCCGATGCACTGAGAAGAGCACTCTACCTCTTGAAGTTCTGCCCCAAAATCCATAATCTGAACCCAGTCATGAGAAAACACCAGGCAAACCAGACTGAGGGACAGTCTATAAAATATGTGACCTGTACTGTATTGTTGCATCTCTTCTGAAAATCTAAAATTACTTTAGAATTGAAAGTTAAATAATATCAATGTGAATCCAGCATTCCACGGCCTAAGTTCTCTGGTGGAGAAACAGGAGTCAGAATGTCTGAAGGAGGGATCCCTGGGTGGCTCAGTTGGTTGAGCGTCCAACTTCGGCTCAGGTCATGATCTCACAGCTTGTGAGTTCAAGCCCCGTGTCAGGCTCTGCATTGACAACTCAGAGCCTGGAGCCTGCTTCGGATTCTGTGCCTCCCTCTCTCTCTGCCCCAACCCACTCACATTCTGTCTCTGTCTCTCTCAAAAATAAATAAACATTTAAAAAAAAATTTTTTTAATTAAAAAAATAACTGAAGGACATAGCAGCCATCATTGTTGGTACTAACCTGCAGATCAGAGGTAGAGAGTACACAAAACTAGACAGGTGTTTCCATTCCAGCCAGAGCCACCCCGGATCTGGAGGTAGCATAAAGAGAAGAATGCCCAAGTTACTGTTTTCACAATGGTTTCCAAAAGTCTGACGATAATGTGGGATCTTTTATTATTCTTTGTTGTCAGGAGTCTCTCTTCAGTGTTTGCACAGCAGTTGACATATAGGCACTCAAATGTTGAATGAAGGAATGAATTTGGTTACTGTGATGAAACACTGACCCATTCCATTTGAATAAAAGGCAATAAGCAAATCCTGCACAGCCGTGCCATTTTCGTATCTCATCGATGGTTCTCACTCACCCCTCGTTGCACTTAGATGCATTTAGGCAGAAAGCTGCAGACTGAATGAAGCAAATTAGTCAGGTTCCTGTGAAGAAGTAAAAAGACTTTTATTTTTAAGTGCCTTTCTATTGCCACTTCTTAAACCTGACAATTATTACCCTACTCAAAAATAGCTACATATCACAGTGCCAGGGAGGGACATAAAGGTGGTGGTTAACAGCAAGGGCTCTGTAGTCAGACTTCGTTTCTGTTACAGTTTTTCAACGTAAACGCAAGGTAGTTGACTTTCTACCCTCACTTTCTCCTAAAATACGGATGTCTCATAAGATTATTAAGAGGAAACCATCTTCAGGGTGCCTGGGTGGCTCAGTCGGTTGAGCGTCCGACTTTGGCTCAGGTCATGATCTCACGGTTCATGGGTTCAAGCCTCACATTGGACTCTGTGCTGATAGCTCAGAGCCTAGAGCCTCCTTTGGATTCAGTGTCTCCCTCTCTCTCTGCCCCCTCACCTCCTCATGCTCTGTTTCTGTCTCTCAAAAATAAATAAAAATGTTAAAAAGAAAAAAGAAGAAGAAACCATTTTCTGCAGCGCCCTGGTGGCCCAGTCAGTTAAGCGTCTGACTCTTGGGTTAAGTAATTTGCCCAACGTCACACAACTCAGTGGACAACCCAGGATTTGATTTGAATCTTCCTGATTCCATAGTCTTTCTCAACCCATACCTCAGATGATTGCAGAAACCATGTTTAAGTGTTTTGACAAGGTTATAGAAGATATCTGCATATGTGCTACGATAATAGCTTTAGTGAACCTGATTGTCTTTAAGCATTGCTTTTAATGTTGCCCCAGGCTCAAGTTTCTATTTTCCTCATTCTATTTTCCTACAGGAAATTGAAGTAAACATCTCTTTAGTGCAACTCTCCTTATAAGTTAACAGACACTTTCTTTGTCCTGAATGTGTAAAGCTGTGGTTGAGCCTGGGCTACCATAGGCACAGTGATGCTTTCCCAGCTCTGGCTCTCGCCTTGCCTATGAAATGTACCAGTGAGAGAGCCTAGGCAGTAAGGAGGCCAGGCCACCAGGCCCCGTCACTCCTCTGAGAGGACACAATCCACCAGGGCCCAGGGAACATCAGATTGAAGTTCTATAGTGACTCTTCGAGATGTTAAAACTTCACAATGCTATTCAAAGGGTATCCTCAACTTACATGAGCCTAAAATTCCTCCTGTGATTAAAGTTTAAAGTACAACAGTTATTGGACCTATTTCAGGATCTCCAGACACACATCCTGGAGCTTCTTGGGCTTTAATACGTGAGTGAAGTTAACATTTTCCTCTTTAAATGTTACTGGAATTTCTAGTCCTTGACTCATTTGAGAGTATAGCTTTTCTGGAAACTTAGAAACCTACATCAATAAGGACATACGGGTTATGATGTGGTATGAGTAGTTAGTCATAGAGGTGGAGTTGAGAAGGTAAGACCTCTCTGACGGTCCTTTGGGAAAGCAGAGTGTAGGACTGAACTGTGGTCCCATGATGAAGGGAGAGGTTCGCCCTGCCTGGTTTGTACTCTTGGATACCAGTGTTCCACCAGGTCTGGATCGTGCCTGAGGCTCTTCCCCACGTGCACCCTCACTTGTCTTTAGAACCCTCAGAGTCCTCTCCACTGCCCTGTCCTTCCTGTATATTTTCTTAGAACCTTTGTTTCTGAAAGGCGGTAGTTCGTAATGATGGCTTCACGAAAAGAGAAGGGAGCTGACCTTTGACATCTCCCATGCTCTAGGCACTTTACGTGTTTCATCTCATTTAATCCTCACAGCATCCTGTCTGGGTAGGTAGATTATCACTACATTTATAGATGAAGAAATTTAAGTTCAGGGAAGTTGAGTCGTCTACCAAAGGGGCTTGAAGCTAGAAAAGCAGGAAAACCGGAAATCTGCTCTCATTCTCCTTAACTGGAGAGATTGTGCTCTGCTGTGAAGCTGTGGTGTTGGGGGTTGTGACTGTTGTTGACTGTCACTACTGCTTGCCACGAGTTTGTATGTCAGTGAGCCAAGAGAACGCTTCGCCTGCAGTTACTCACATATGCTGTGGTCTCCAAGTGTGAACAGTGCGAGTTGATGTTAAGTCACCGGATCCTCACAAAAACCTGCCAACTACAGATGTTTATTATTTCAACTTTGCAGATGGGGAAACCAAGGCTCACAGAGATTGATACAGAGTCACACAGCCAGTGAGTCTGGAACTGGAGATTTGATCCAGTACTCATGGGGACACCTTTTAAAAAAAATTTTTTTTCAACGTTTATTTATTTTTGGGACAGAGAGAGACAGAGCATGAACGGGGGAGGGGCAGAGAGAGGGAGACACAGAATCGGAAACAGGCTCCAGGCTCTGAGCCATCAGCCCAAAGCCTGACGCGGGGCTCGAACTCCCGGACCGCGAGATCGTGACCTGGCTGAAGTCGGACGCTTAACCGACTGCGCCACCCAGGCGTCATGGGGACACCTTTTAAAGCTCACTATCTCTGCAGCACCCTACACCAGCCAGGAGTAGAGCCAGTTTCTGTCACTAAGGCAGTGTTCTCTGGTCAGGAGTCTTACAACATAAGACAGTATTCCTGTAACTTACAAAATAACAGGAATTTGTTTCCGCAGTAAGAACACAAGATATGTGAAGGCTTAGCAAAAGGGCACAAGCTTGCATTTATACCGAAACTCACTGAAATTGGTCTTTTCGTGCATATTGAAGGCATCTGAGTAGTGTTGCCAGAGTGCCTGCTGTGTAACAAAGCTTATAGATTCAGTATGACTAATGTTATTTAAGGGAAGGCCATTCACTGTTTTGAGGTATAATGCCGCTCATTCTGTAAATGAGTAAGTGATAGGTGTCTTGTGGCTGGCTGGGCCAGAGAGCCATCACATGATAATGAGCTATTCAGATGCACATCTGCTTAAATCAGAATGTATGGGCCAACTCTTAAAGAATTGTGACCTGAGAAACACGGGACTCAGTTGCCTTAAGAGGTTCCAGATCTTGCTACCTTGGGTAACGGAGGAGCCGTTGTGTTTAGGTAAAGATCTTAAATTTTTACTCATTTGTTTCTTTCCTTAAAGACTATAAAAGGTAAAGAGCTCATGGGGCGCCTGGCTGGCTCGAGGTTGAGCATGTGACTCTTGATCTCGGGGTCATGAGTTCAAGCCCCATGCTGAGCATAGAACTTACTGAAAAAAACTTTAACTTAAAAAAAAAAAAAAAAAGGAGATAAAGAGTTCTTAATCATGGAGTAATTGAAATTCTAAGATTTTCTAATTCAAGTTGGTTGTCCACACCAATGGATTTTCTTTCGGCCTTAAAAATACATGACCTAAAGTCTTTTTCCAGCCTCTCACTCGTTGTCTTGGAGAAAAAAACTTGATAGATTTATACATTCGTTCATTCCACAAATATTTATTGAATACTTGATATTTGCTGGTCACTGTGCTCCATGCTGAGGACTCATCACAAGATCAATGCTGTTCCTCACAGAGCGAATAGTAGTACTATCGTTGATACAGCATATTGTAAAATTTGTTACAAGAAACTCAGTATAGTTTGAGAACACAGATGAAAGTAACATTTATTTCCATCCCAATAGATTTCGGTTTTGGAAATTTCTTTAAAAGTGGTGAACTGCTGGCAACATGGTGTGGCAGCCCTCCTTATGCGGCCCCTGAAGTCTTTGAAGGGCAGCAGTATGAAGGACCACAGCTGGATATCTGGGTACTTGTTTGCTTTGCCGTGTTCAGTGCATCTATGACAATGATCCTTGGTACTTAGGCCCATCGCCGAAGCTCTTGGTACCTAACACATAGGCCGTAGTTCATACTTTTCCCACCCACTGGACTGTAATTCGAGCATTTTGAATTTGATTCTAGGAAAGAATTTCTAGGGGCAGATGTTATTACTTTAATATCAGCAATAATTTTAAGTAGTAATCAAAAGAAATTAAATTCAGATCTTTGAGTATTTGTTTTAGGATATTTTATTGCAGTAGTCTGAGTTTTCGATTTTTCTTTTTTTTTCTTCTTTTCAAATTCTGAGACAGTAGTAAATCCAAACAGGAATTTTTCAGCCCAAATGATCTTAAGGGCCCCGGGGATGTTTAGGAAAACAAAGAGTGTTTAAAGTTCTCAGAGGAAAAGTGACTGCGCTGTCTTCTTTCCTAGAGCATGGGAGTGGTTCTTTACGTCCTTGTCTGTGGAGCTCTGCCTTTTGATGGACCAACTCTTCCAATTTTGAGGCAGAGAGTTTTAGAAGGAAGATTCCGGATTCCCTATTTCATGTCCGAAGGTAACAAACTTGTTCCTCTTAGAAGTGTGCTCTCCAAACTTTGTGCTCTGAGTGAAATGCCTGGGAAAGGCTTCCCTTGTTCTAAGAGTTTGGTGCCATACAAAGTGACTGAGTCACTTCAGAAGCCATAGAAATAAGCTGCCCCCTCCATGTAGGTGAGCGACGCTCCAGCCTTCCTACTTGTGACTGAAAACGGAAAGTTTTCCAGGTTAAGAACAGCACGTCTTCGCATGTGCTCTGGGTCTATAAATGTCCCAGGTTTATTTTAGACTCAGAGAAGTACTTTGTAGACAGAGTCACAACTATTTCACTCTGAGTATGAAGTACATTTTCCCGTATCTTTCGGTGAAAAGTTGAAAAATTGAGTTTTTTAATTGAATTAAAAACTGGCAAAGCTCTTAAATTGAGAGGAGGTGCCCTGACCCCTCCCCGTCTTGGGCTGGCAGGTTGCATGCAGCCGACTGGGTTGTTGCCGCAGTTCCATTTACTCCATAGCTTTGGGTGACCATCCTGAACTCTGTCACTCCTAGTGATGGTAGAAGCGAAGCTCCGATACTTAAGAGCACAGACCTTGGAGCCAGACTGCCTGGTTTTAATCCCGAGTCCACCACTTACTGGCGGTCTGACATCAACAAGTGATGTCACCTGTCTGTGCTTCCTCGGTCCTTAAAATGGAAATAACAGTGGCTCCTTGTAAGAGCCTTGTGAAGATTAATTGAATTAATCTCTGTAGAGCACCTTGCGGGGTGTCTGGCGCCTAGTGAAGGGTATAAGGCCGGTCACGTGGGCTGGTAGAGAGCATGGTGTCGGCTCTGAGAGTTAGCTGCTGCCTGAGTCACAGCAGTGCAGTTTCTGAAATGTAATCACAGGTAAATAACGCTTTACGTGCGTTTCTCTCAGCTACACCGACGGGGAGAGGAGATCAACAGTCCGCCAGAGAGCTCTCGCCTCACTCACTTACCCTTAATGTATCAGCCTCAGAAGGGGCTCAGGATCCATTTATGTGCTCGTTCTAGGAAGAAGCTTGTTTTTGTCCTCAGCAGAATCTAAGTCCATCTCTAGGTCTTTTCAGTTGAGAAATACGATGGAAGGGTTCGTTTAGCACAGAATGGGACAGCCCTACACCCTCCTGTTTTTCTTAAGTATTCATTCACGTGATGGTTACTTTTGTGTCAACACTCACCACATGAACCTGACAAATACAACTGGCTTTCATGGATTCATTTGAACTTCTGCTTTCCAGTGGGCACTGTGGAGGATACAGAGATTAATGCTGTTGTACAAAGTCACATGACTGAAGCCAATACCCTGAAGTACAAGATGATTTACGTGACTTTTGTAACATTGTGTTTCCATAGATTGTGAGCACCTTATTCGAAGGATGTTGGTCCTAGACCCGTCCAAACGGCTAACCATAGCTCAAATCAAGGAGCATAAATGGATGCTTGTAGAAGTTCCTGTTCAGAGACCTGTTCTCTATCCACAAGGGCAAGAAAATGAGCCATCCATTGGGGAATTTAATGAGCAGGTTCTGCGATTGATGCACAGCCTTGGAATAGATCAGCAGAAAACCATTGAGGTAAAGTGATGAGAGATTTGACTGAAGATATTTTAGGATTCTTCTGTGCTCAGTAACGTGAAAGCTTGTGCCCACACCCACCATCCTGGTGTTCGAGCATGACCATTCCCATCACCTCGGCGTGTCCAGCTTTCCCTGAGGATTATAATCAGGCTATTTCATGTTTGCTTCTTTATTCAATATATAAATTCTTCCCTTTGCCCCATCTGCCAAAAAATCAAGAGGTAGTTTATGTAGGTTTGAAAAAAGACAAAGATGGGAACTTAACAAAGTAGAAAATTTCTTATAAGATGAAGGGTAGAGTTTTATCCAAGTCATAAGCTACTTTATATGGAGAATAAATATACATACAGATAGGGAACAAGGCTGAGGGCTGAACAGGAAACCACAAGAGTAGGCATCAGGTTCAGGATTTAGGTTGTGAACTGGAGAAACTGAGAAGGCAAAAACAGGTGGATTCCAGAATTGGAAGTTCTTTGGGTCATAGAACCGAGAGAGTCGTGAATCTTGGAAGTTCCTCATCCCTTTGATTTCTGCCCTTTAGTAGGTAGCGTATCCATAGGGAAATACATTTTTACTACCTGCACAACAGGAAAAAACAGTGCTTTTATGGAGGAAGCACAGCAAGAAAGAACACAAAATGCTTCTTAGGAATATCAAGTGCTCCAAACCGTGCTGCCATTAAGCAAAACCAGACTGGCTTTCCTGCCTGGCTCATCATGTGCTCAGCGATGTGTTTGTGTCCTTGTCCATGAGGTAGATTTCGAATGGCAGCTATAAGTGCAGTCCCACAGGCCTGTGATTTTTGTCAGGGGTGCTCTGCGTCTGAGGTGCCCTGCACAGCGCTCGTGCTGGCTGTCGGGCGGGGTGAGAAGCAGGGGAGCTGTTGTTCCTCCATCCGTTCGTGTCCTGGGGAAGCTGGCTGGCGAGGGGTGTGAAAAATTGGGAAGCAACTTTATTTTCAAGCTTTCAAGAGGGTGGGACTGCAAAAACAAGGGGAAAAAATTACCTAACAACTGAGACACAGTGTCTCTCAATCTCCCATCCAAATGTTACTCTCCAGCCCAAAATAATCACCAGGAATTTCCCCAAAGACTTTAATCATTCACTTCAGAGTTTGCAATAGTTTGGACTTGTGTTGAAGTTAAGGAATTAGAGCCTCTGAGCTCAGGTTGCTAACTGACTTTACACCATAGTTACAGCTAGGAGACGGAACCGCACAACCCCATTGCAGACTTCCTACGTGAGAAAGTGGTGGTATTTTTTTCTGAATGCAGAGAAATAAATGGAGCCTGTGAATGTAGAAGGGCGAGTCACTTAAAAGTATCACCCTTTATGTAATCAATATGAGAAACTCTCTTTCATTTTAATTTTTTTTTAATTTTTATTTATTTCTGAGAGAGAAAGAGAAAGAGAGCATGAGCAGGGGAGGGGTAGAGAGAGAGGGAGACACAGAATCCGAAGCAGGCTCCAGGCTCTGAGCTATCAGCACAGATCCCAACATGGGGCTGGAACCCACAAACTGCGAGATCATGACCTGAGCCAAAGTTGGACGCTTAACCAACTGAGCCACCCAGGCACCCCTCATTTTAAATTCTGGAACAGCTTTTATTTTGAGACACACTGTTCATTGTGTTTAAGAACACATGGTTTCTTCCCTCCTTTTTCAGAAAGATGTAGATCATTGGATTGGTTTTCATGCTTCTTTGACTTCAGCACTTGCTTTCTCTTTCAGTCTTTACAGAACAAGAGCTATAACCACTTTGCTGCCATTTATTACTTGTTGGTGGAGCGTCTGAAATCACACAGGAGCAGCTTTCCTGTGGAGCAGAGACTGGATGCCCGCCAGCGTCGGCCCAGTACCGTGGCTGAACAAACAGTTGCCAAGGTAACACCATATTAGCCAGTGGTCTCATCTCTCAGGTGCCTATTCATATATTTGACACATTTTTCATCTTGTAGTACAACAAAGGGTTAGGATTTATCCTCTCCCCTGTTTTTCTGTAAAGTTTCTGCCTGTCATTATTAGATTCTCAAATGTTTTAACATCTTCCTATTTCTAAGGATTAATTTTATTTCAGTTGTTTTAAAAGACTTCTCATTTTTTTAATCACTGACTTATTGTGAGAATTAATGTAATGGGCCTATATAGTTGATTCCATGTGACAGATCTTTATTGCAGATTCACTGCGTGCAGGCTCCTATTATTAGGTACGATAGGGGATAGGATGTACGAAACCCAGGCATGGCCTCAGAGACCTTACAGTATAAAAGCAAAGTAAGACAACATCATAAATAACCGTCATTCGAAACAGAGATAAATGCAGGACGAGAACTAAGGGCAGAGGAGAAAGTGACACTTCTGAATGGAAAGGCTTCGTGGGAGAGACAGCATTTTGACGGATCTGGAATCCGCGGGGATGTGGAGGTGGGGGCAGGGGCGGTAGTGATAGTGGGAGGCCTGGTATGGAGGCTGCAGAAGCAGCTCGAGCACAAGTACTCAAGTGTGCAAGGGCAGGGTAGGCTCCGAGTAGCCCACCGGAACCGAAGCATACCAGGGAAATGAAAAAGTTGGAGCCGTGCTGTGAAGGGCTTCCAATGCCAAGGTAAAGAGTTTACTTACAGTTCAGGAAATTAGGAGGAACGGTGGGAGACTTCAGCAGGAAAGTGATAAAATCATATCCCGGCTTTAATCTATTAATCGGTGACATCATTGGGAAGGAAAGATTGGACAGGGAAGAGAAGAACTTTGGAGAGAGCAGTTGGGAGACGAGTAATAAATACCGCAGGCTTGACCTAAGACCTGCCGGTGGGGGCATTGGACGCCCTCGGCTGTGGTTTGCAGAGGCACCGTAACACGGTGGTTAAAGCAGTCGTTATGGAGCAAGCCCAGACTGGGCCACCTCCTGCTACCTGACCTTCAGAAGGTTACTCAAGGTCTTTCTGTGCCTTAGTTTCCAAATCTGTAAAACGGAGTAACCATAGAATGTTCTGATGTTTAAATTAGTTGATAATTGTGCAACACTTAGAGCGTGTTCCGTAAATGTTTATTTTATAAAGTAATAAATGTTAGGGAGGAAGGAACAGCCATGACTTGGAAATGATCCCTTTCTTAAGCCCGAGGCTGGGAGAGTCAGGGGTGGCACGGACTCCGGACTCCATTGCTTGAGAGGAAGAAGATCTGGATCCCAGGATAGAGGCCGAGGCTAAAGGGAGCTGGGAAATCAGCCACATAGAGGCTGAGGAGAGGAATGGTTCATTCAGATGATCTACCAGGATTCCCGTTGGCTTCTGTGAGTGCCTGCTTTGTTCAGAGGACAAGTAGGAGCAGAAGTTCTGGCCATATATTTCTTGTTTGGCAGTGTAACAAAGTTTACAGAATTTAGTACAATTTTGCATTGGCTTCTACAGAACATGTGAGGCGGGAGGACCTAACAAAACTAAGATCATCTTGATCTTAGTAGGCAAATGGTATATACACTGTTATGCATACTTTAGTGAATATTGATACTAATGTCACCTATGGACAGAGTTCCAAATATTGGGTCAGATTCTCCCTGAGCGCTTGGAATCCTTCAAAGTTCCAGAGTTGAATGGTATTGCTTTCAAGACAGGAGGGGGATACAATGAAAATTCCTAAGCTGGGGGAGTAACAGTGAGGTGTAGTGGTAACCCCCCCCCTCTGGGAAATGCTGACAGGGAGCAGGGTAGGAAGCAGGAAAGCCCCCCCCCCCCCCCCCAAAGCTGTGGCAGGCTTTCCCTCCCAGGTCTCTTCATTCTTGCTCACAGTACACAGGCCAGGGGAAGGGGTTATGTAAATGATTGACCCTGAGCACGTGCGTATTACTGCACATGATCACCTTTCTTACTGAAGCTTAAAGAAGATTCCCTGGGAGAGCTCAAGTTATGTCTGATTTGGCTGAGAGTTCAGATCTATAACGTAGCTTCTTATGTTAGATAATTTTTTTATTACCAAGCATCACATGAGTTACTTTGATTTTAAGCACTGACCCAAATTGTCATAGAAAGCTACTTACTGAGACTTAAAAATGTATCTAATTGAAGTAGAAGTCTTCAGTGTTCATTCAGTAGGTTTGTCCAGAGTGCCTTCTGAATGCTAAGCAGCAGACACTGGGCTCAAGAAGATGCTCCCTTCCCTAGGAGATTTCACATTCTCATGGTTTGTTGAACTTGTTTAAAAAAAAAAAAAATAGATTTCCCTGGGCTCAAAGTTTTAGTAGAGGCTTCTCCCTTTAATTCTTTGTTGTATTGTTTTAAAGAAGTGGCAAATCAGGGCACCTGGGTGGCTCAGGTGATTAAGCATCCAACTTGAGCTCAGGTCATGATCTCAAAGCTCATGAGTTCGAGCCCCACTTTGGGCTCTGTGCTGACAGCTGGAGCCTGCTTCGGATTCTGTGTCTCCCTCTCTCTCTGTTCCTCCCCCACTCTTGTCTCTCTCTCTCTCAAAATTTAACATTAAAAAAAATTTCTTTTTAAAATAAAGAAGTGAGAAATCAGTTGTAGTTGGTGAAACGATAATAAATTAAGGAAACAACATGATCCCATGCAGAGATTGCACGAGCCCTGGAATCACACAGACCTTGGGTTCCATATCCTGCAGTGCCCTGAAATATAAACTGGAAATAGCAGCACCTACTTCATAAGTTTGCTACAAAGGTACAATTAGTTAACTTCTACCTGCAGCTCAGTTCAGCAGATAGAGTACTTCTTCTGTACCAGGAAACAGTCCCTGCCCGTAAAGAATTAATGGTATAGGGATAAAGTACCCATTATTACTACTTGGGAAACAGTGAGATTCCTATGTTATAATGATTTAGAGTACTTATATTTGCCATATACTCTGCAAGAGATGTTAACATCTAGTTGATGACAGGCAACAATTTGGAGACAATACGTGTCCTGCCTTTCTCTCACGAGTCCTAACTACTAGTCCTTTGCTCCAGGTTTACATCAACTGTAAGTAGACGAGAATGAAACACTCATCCTAGTACTCCTCTGCTTACTGAGTAGAGGCTGCCCTCCACAACTGTATGGAAAGGCATCCTGTAGTTGGCCAGGGCCACCGTAACAAAGTACCATAGGCTGAGGGGCTTAAACAGCAAAAATGTATTTTCTCACAGTGCTGGAGGCCACAAGTCCAAGGTCAAGGTGCCATCAGGGTTGATTTCTGATGAGAACTCTCAGCCGCTTTCTCTGTGTGCCCTCCCTCACACAGCTTATGTTCTGCATATGCAGAGAGAGAGAGAGATCCCTGGTGTCTCCTCCTCATCTTAGAGGGACAGGAGTCCTTTCGGATTCAGAGCCCACCCTTAGGACCTCATGTAACTTTAATTACCCCCTGAAAGGCTCTCTGTCCAAATGCAGTTGTGTTGGGGGTTAGGGCTTTAACATATGGATTGGGGAGGGGGAGGGGGGAACTGGAGGTGTGGGAGTGTGGACAGGACACACAGTCTGTCCATAACTGGCACATTCCTCTTGGAGCAGTAAAGATTTTCCCATAGGAGAAAACATGATTTTCATTTTAATGGTCCTAAAAGAGCACAAAATCACGAGAATCAAGACCATAAACATAAGGTCTAAAAAGTCATTACAGTTAGTTGGACATGATCATTGTCTGTTGCCACTCTTGGAGAAACTGGTAACGTCTGCCTCCCTGGGACATTAGTCATCCATCTATTTATTATAATGACACATTCTTTAGTCTACAGTGCCGAGCATGCCATTTGAATAGTTACACCCTACCTTGTTCCAGAAAGATCTATTTAATCCCCTCAATGATTGCAAGAATCCTAAAAAGTAGGCTGCTAAAACCTACCATCCTATTTCCTGTGATTGGTAGTCACACAAAAATGTGTTTTTTGTCCGTCCACACCAAGTCCACAGTAGGCTGCTGTAATCCAGGTTGGACGTGAAAGTTGTCCAGGAAAATGTGTTACACTTGGTCTGGCGCAGCATGATCCTGCCATTTAAAAAGTCACAGCTCCTAAGAGGCAGTGACTGAGAAGGAACAGCACATCCTGGTTATCGTGTTAGTACCCATTTCCAGCACCATATCATTTAGGTAATGCTTTGCCCTAATAGCTTAGACTACTTTCATACACGAGGAGCAACCTAAGAAATTTGGGAAATAGAAATTAACGTTCAGCTTTAGCCTTCGATCGAAAAAATGATGAGTAGAGTAAGAAGAGTGCATGAAATATTTTTATTAGGAAGTATACATTTTATATTGTGACATGGGGCCGAAAAAAAAATTGATTTAAAATGACTAATCTTTCAAAGGGAAAAAAACTTGTTTAGCCTCAAGAGTGGCCTGGGATATAAGCATGAGGACTGATGACATTAGAAAAGCTGTTCTCTTTATCATGCTCAGGACAGTTTACAATGTTTTTTGTTTGTTTTTTGGGGTTTTTTTTTTTTTCTCTTTTTACCAACACTTTGCTATTGCTATTTTTTTTTAATGTTTATTTTTTGAGATAGAGACAAGGTGCAAGTGAGAGAGAGGCAGAGACAGAGGGAGACACAGAATCCAAAACAAGCTCCAGGCTCTGAGCTGTCAGCACAGAGCCCGACGTGGGGATTGAACCCACAAGCTGTGAGATCATGACCTGAGCTGAAGTCGGACACTTAACTGACTGAGCCACCCAGGCGTCCCTGCTATTGTTGCTATTTTATTCTTTGTCTCTTGCAGCATATCTAATGATGTTAATGTTGGAACGAACCAAATGTAAAGCATATTCTAAATATGTTCAAAGTATATTAAATATAAGGTGTATTTCGTCAAAAACCATCAACCTAAAATTTTAACGGAGAAACATTAAATAATATTTGAGAACAAAACGGTATTTATTTGCAGGCTAATTGTTGTATTAGATTCTTGTAACCATTTTACAAATTTAGAAGGAAGGAGGGGCGCCTGGGTGGCTCATTCGGTTAAGAGTCTGACTTTGGCTCAGGTCATGATCTCACAGTTCGTGGGTTTGAGCCCCATGGCAGGCTCTGAGCTATCATTTATGAACTGTCAGCTCAGAGCCTGGAGCCTGCTACAGATACTGTGTCTCCCTCCTCTCTGCCCCTCCCCTGCCTGTGCTTTCTCTCTCTCTCTCTCAAGAATAAATAAGCATTTAAAAAGGAAAAAAAAAAAAAAACTTTCAAAGGAGAAAGGCAGAATTGACATTACTGACTGAAAGACCTTACATGTTACCTTTTACACTCCTGATGTCACTGTGAAATAGCAATTGTGCCCTCTTATACAAGTGAAGGAAATAGGATTCAGAGAGGTTAGGTAACCTGATAATGTTCACACAGTTAGTGAGGAATGGAGCAAGGAATCAAACCCAGGCCTCTGGAAGAGAGAAGCTAAAATTACACCATGTTGTTCCTTTTTATTTGTTTGAAGTTAAAACTCATCACCCTAAGTCCCTTCAAGTGTATAGCAGAGAAAAGGGTTGTTCCTCTGCCTTTTGGACACTAATGTGATGATTGTTTCCTTAACCGTTTGGCAGTGTCTGTTACATCCAAAAGTCTTCAAATAAATTATTCTGCTAATTTTAAAGAGATGGGAGGGTAGGATTATCCAGTAGTTTCATCTTTAAAATCAATTCGTGCCAATTATCATAAAGAAAGATTCTCTGGGGGCGCCTGGGTTCTCTGGGGGCTCAGTCGGTTCAGAGTCCAACTGTTGATTTCACCTCAGGGTCATGGGATAGAAAGCCCCGTGTCGGGCTCCGTGCTGAGTGTGGAATTTGCCTAAGATTATGTGTGTGTGTGTCTCTCTCTCTAAAATAAAGTAAATAAATAAATAAAAGAAGAAGCAAGATTCTCTGTTGTATGACATTCTGAAAGAAGAGTTCATCATGCTTGTTTACTTGGAGTTCTTAACAGAGGAGACATGAAAATGGGCTTAAAGCCATCCAGAGCTTTCTATAGTAGGTTGACTTTCGGAAGATAAGCTGCTCATCAAGAAGCATCTCTCCTTCCACTGGGCCAACAGGCTGTGTTCAGGCCGCGCATCTCCTTGGAAGGAGGACGCTCCTGTCACCACCAAGTAGCTGCCACTTCTCTTTTCTTCCTCCGCACGCATACCCTTGTCAGGAAATACATAACCATCTCGCCCCACCAGCGTGTGTGGGTGTGCGGGTGTGCAGGTGTGTGGGTGTGTACCTACCCCTGGTTCGGTTTTGAGCTCCTAGACACAGGGGCTTCTCTCTTTATAATTTTTGCATAGTGATGCATTGAGGACATAGACCGCCTATGTTTGCTGAGTTAAGAAACAGAGCATTCTTAGCTTCTGGACAGAGACCAGCTTCCTTGTCATCTGTGTGATAGGCACCTCCCTGTGGAACAGGAATGAAACGTGTAGAACAATTCCCTGAGACTGCTTCAAATCAGTACCTGTACCACGTACACGTTTCATCAAATTTTTTCTGGGGTTCCAACTACTTATTCTTTCGTTGTACCAGGAAGAGTTATCTTATTTCAAGAATCTTGTATATTTGTATGGAAAGTATTAATGTTCCCAAACTGCTCTTGCCATATTTTCAGGCCCAAACTGTGGGGCTCCCGGTGACCGTGCACTCCCCAAACGTGCGGCTGATGCGGTCTGCCCTCCTCCCTCCCGCATCCAACGTGGAGGCCTTTCCATTCCCAGCGTCCAGCTGTCAGGCAGAAGCAGCCTTTATGGAAGAAGAATGTGTTGACACACCAAAGGTACGAACGTGTTTGAGAGACTCTGAGCTCGCAGTTGGACCGGGACTTCAGTTTCATCCCCGAGTGTTGTACTTTGGCTTTGGTGACCTTTGTCATTTCCTCAAGTCACTCAGGAGTGTTGTTTTTTTGCAGAAATGGGAGAAAAATATCTAGGCCGAACTTGGCTCTCATTGCGGTCTTACTGTTACGGCTGTTGCGTAACTTGTGTCAGACCTTATATGTACTTTCCAAAATCCTTCTTTCTCTTTCCTTAAGCAGTCCCTTCCCTCTTCAGGTTTCTAGATCCTTCATAGGTATGGGATTTTTTTTTTTTTTTTTTTTTTTTTTTTTTTTTTTTTTTTTTTTTTTTTTACAAATTGTAATTCTGAAAACAGAAATATAATTACTGTGTTGAGCTTCCATCTGTGTTATTATTACCTCTTTTCTGCTGCATGCGCTGTAGCTGCAAAATAATGGGCCACCTTTTTTGGACCAGCATTTTCTTTGTCTTGTTTGAATATGTTTAAATGAGGTATGTTTATCCTTGTGTGCTGAATGAAGTTGGCTTTTAATATATAGAAGATGACAGCTTCTGTCATCTGATGGATGCTTACTTAACTTTTTTTTTTTAAGTTTATTTATTCTAAGAGAGAGAGAACACAGCAGGGGCAGAGAGGGAGAGGAGAGAAAGAATCCCAAGCAGCCTCTACACTGTCAGTGCAGAGCCCAGTGTGGGGCTTGAACTCATTAACCACAAGATCATGACCTGAGCCAAAACCAAGAGTCAGATGCTTAACCAACTGAGCCACCCAGGCGCCCCTTATTTCACTTCTAATACGTGTTTTATATACTGAGCATCAAGTGATGCCCAGAGGATCGTATTAATGGGCAGATCTTGGAACATAGGTGTTGGAGTATGTTCTAAGTAGACTCAGTATTTTCCTAGCCGTGTGAACTTAGGCAGGGTGACTAACTTCTTTGAACCTCTGTTCTTCGTAAAATGAGAACACCAATTCTTGTGAGACTCTTGTGAGGATTAATTGAGATAATGTGTATGAGATTGTGAGCATACTGTAAATACTCGATATTATTTGTTTCCTATCTTTTAAGCCTCTTGAGTTAATGAAAAGATAACTCACATGAATTCTGCCTCCATGTTCATAGTCTAGCAGAAGAGACACGATGCATAGCTAAAGACAAGGTACCAGGTGCTGAATACATCGATAAAATGTAATTGTTCCCTTAGATACCTAAATCAAAATGCTGCACTACTGGAAAAAGTTAGGGGGGGTTGCTTTTAGCTAGTTTGACCAGGACAGTCCAGGTTAACTGTCAGAGCTGGGAATTGAGGGATGGGATGGAATAGGGGTGGATGGCATCTGGGTGGAGGGAAGAGTCTGAGCAAGCAAATGTCGGGAAAGCTTAGGTGCATAAAAGAGCAGTAGCTCAGCGTGTGTGTGAGGAAAAGCACATGTGAAGGGGAGTTGTATGAAATAAGGACCAGTAGCTTAGCTTTAAATGTCAAGCCCAAGAATGTAGGCTTTTTCTCTAGGCCAAATCCATATTGTGCTTCAGAAATCATCCTGGAAGGTACATAGCCTGCATTTGATGGGGACAGGGACAGTGGAAGCTTAGAGCAGGTGTCCAGAGAGGACATGTTGAAGGCCAGGACTGTTAGCGCTCAAGGAACTATAGAAGAGGGGATGGTATGAATGAGATTGTGCAGCTAAAATTGATAGAGTATTATGGTCCGGGAAAAAGATGTCCAGACTCATAACAGTATTTTGAGCCTAGGTGATTGGGAGGGTAAGTGCCATTTTCAGAAACCAGGATCTCTGGAGGTAGAGCCGATTCAGAAGTTAGATCACGTGTCTAAGCTAAACCATAGACAAGGCAGCTTGAGGCGAGGCTGCGCGAGCAGGTGTTAGCTGCTGACTGTGAGTTACAGTCCCTGTCTCTGAGGACGAGGCCACTTCCTGCGGACAGTCTATTTTCTCCGCCGGTGATTGCCTAGAATGTCCAATAACCTCATCAGCTTCTGTGTTCTCACCTAGAAATTTAGCCATAAATTGGGACAACATAATTCACCTATTTGTAAGATCTAATTCCCTTGAAAAAATTAAAATGCAGCCTGCTAAAGGCTTATCTGTGAGGGCATCAGGCCTGAAACACAGATTGGGCACTGTCTGCTGTGGTATATAGGGCAAGCTATTTTTAAAGCTTGTGATTGTTCCCGTAACTAGGAAACAGACAGGAAATGAATGATTTTGTGAAAGATAAAGACAGTAGCTAGATGGTGTATTTGCATTTGTAGGAAGAGCAGTGCTACCCTGGCACTTAGCCAGGCCAGAGACATCCCCTGGTCTTCTTTGTGGACCATTTCGTTTATGTCAGCAAAAACGCTTGTGCCCTCTTCCCTCCCTAGGACCTCTTTTTTGGTGGCCCATCAGTCAGCGCACACACACAAAGCTGTCAGAGCTGTGGCTCCTTTGTGGTTCCTGTTACTTCCTACTCATTCACTGGGCCACCCGTTTTTTGTCTTCTAAAAGATGCTTCATAAATGCATGTATTGTTCATTCATTTCTGCTCGCAGTTGCTGGCAGATAACTGTCCATCACAGAGATTTCACCTCTCCCTTTCTCCCAGAAGTCTTTAAAAGTGTCAGTAAAATCCCTTAGGGAGTCTGCACTGAAACATTGGTTTGGGGCTCCTGCAAAAAACACCCCCTTTTTGAGACAGTCACCCAACTCCAAGCAGTAGCTGAGAGCCCCAGATGACACAGAGACCATCGAGGGGCAGGTGCACAAACCTTGTGGGGCCATCTTTCTCTTTTAAGGGTTTCTTTGAAAAGAATCCATTTCTTTCCAGTTTTATTGGGAACTAATAGGCCTGCATCACTGTGTAAGCTTAAGGTGTATACACGATGGTTGATTTACATGTGTTGGTAAACGATCGCCGCAGTAGGGTCAGCTGACATCCCTCTTCTCATACAGATGCAACAAAAAGAAAAGAAAAAATAGAAAAAACTCTCCTTTTCATGAGAACTCTTAGGATTTATACTCTCTTAAAACTTTCCTGTCTATCCTACAGCAGTATTAGCTGTGGCCATTGTGCTGTGCACCACATCTCTGCTACTTACCTTACAGCTGCAAGTTTGTGCCTTTTGACCCGCCTCCTCCAAGCCCCCCTCCCCCCTCCACCTCTGGTAACCACAAGTCTTATCTCTGTTTCTGTGAGTACGGTTTTGTTCTTTTGGTTTTTTTCAATTCCACATCTAAGTGAGATCATATAGCATTGTCTTGCTCTGACTTATTTCACCTACTATAATGCCTTCAAGGTCCATCCATAGTGTTAAGTGGTAGGGTCTCATTGGTTTTTCATGGCTGAATAATACTTCATTATTATTATTAGGGGTATATAGATACATACGTATATGACTTCTTTGTCTGTTCATCCATTGATGGACACTTAGGTTGTTGCCAATCTTGGCTTTGGTGAATGGTGGTTCTGTGAACGCAGGAGTGCAAATACCTTTCTGAGTTAGTGTTTTCATTTCCTTTCTATATGGGAATAATGAGTTTTACACACACACACACACACACACACACACACGTGCGTGCGTTTTAGTCACTTTTAACATTGTATTAGACATTATAATAAAAGGATTTCCCAGGCTCCGTCATAACTGGGTAGCCACACTTGGAAAATGCAAGTGTCCCAGGTCTGTTTACTCTGTTGAGGTCTGAAAAGGACATGCCTCTAAGGCTCTGTAAGATGATTACCTTTTAAGTTCTGAACTTGAACTTTTGATTTGTAAGTGAAAAAATAAAACCAGTCAGAATCATACATGGAAAATTCACAGAGGGATAAAGAAAAAAATTATTCATGATCCCACTACCCAAAGATAGGCATATTCTAGCATCTTCTCTAAGAGTGGATCACAGATGGGCGGATGGGTGAGTGGAGGGTGTTAGTAGGTAGACTTGTTAAAACAAAATTATATTGTTATATGTAATTTTGTATCTTGTTTTTACATAATATAACATCATGAACATTTTTCCCATATCATGCAATCTGAAAACATAACACTGGCCTAATATACTGTATTAGATGTACCCTTATTTACTATTTTTGGACATCAGGTACTTTCATTTGTTTTGTATCCTCAAATGTGCTTCAGGTGAATATCCTTGTGTCTAAATCTTTGACTATACCTCTGATTATTTCCTTAGGATAAGTTTCTAGAACGGGTTATCCAGTTCTTTCTTCCTCACTTGGTTATTTGTTTAATTTGCTTCAAGATGGTAAAAAATATTTTCAAAGAAAATGGTACAGTTCTGTTCTCATGCTTTTAAAATTTTTATTGTTATAAAGTATTCTCTTTTGGTCGGGAAATCATAACAACAGATAGAATATTTTAGTTCATCCCCCCCCCCAAACAGCCGTCTTACACATGAGAAAAATTGAGCTTTACAGAAGTTGAACAACATGCCGATGAGTGACAGAGCTGAAGTTTGAGCCTGCACCTCAGTACGCGCCCAGCTGTCCTGGCACTGATGATGCACGTGAGACAAGACACACTGTCAGCCTCCAGGTCCACTGGCTACTATTGTGCACTGGTCTCTTGTCTGCCCAGGCCATCATAACAAAATACCCCAGGCCGGGGGTGCTTAGACAACAGAAATAGATTTTCACACAGTTCTGGAGGCTGGAAGTTGAAGACCAAGGTTCTGACCAATTTTATTTCCAGTCTCTTACAGAAGGCCACCTTCTCTCTCTGTCCTCCCATGGCCAGTCCTCTGTGCTCACGTGGGGGGAGAGAGAGTGTGCAAGCAAGAGCTCACACATGGGAGCTTTCTGGTATCTTTCCTGATAAGGACGCTAATGCCACCAGGTCAGGGCCCCACCCTTAGGACAGCCCTAGGGACTACACCTACAGATACCACCTCAGTGGAGGTCAGGGCTTCCATATGTGAATCTTGCCCACAGGTATGGGGTGGGGGGCAGTTGAGACACAAACATTCAGTACATAACAGTCTACCGGTCTTTTGTGCTAGAATCGTGTGTTGTGCTGGACTTGGGTGTTACCAGTTAGTGGTAGAGTTTCTGAGAGTTTGACTCCTACATGAGTACTGCCTGTTGCAGTGTGGTCTCTCACTAGATGTGATCCGTTGTGCTTTAAGGAAAGACAAAAACAGTGTATTGGAAAATGTCCATTTCACTCATGTATTTCGGAGTCCTAAAATTTTCCGTTAGCCTAGATTATTTCCTAGTGCAAAAAAAATCTTACTTCTAGTAGCTTAGGTCACCTAGGTAGATCAGCCCACTATTTCAGTCACAAGGTCCTAGGGCTGAATTTGTTGTATCAGACCCCTGGTAAATTGGCAGGCAAGGATGGTGTGATTATCCCCCGTTTCAGGAAATGAACTTCTAGTTGAAGGTGTTTCACACCTAGGAACTATGTATGAGTGCCCTCCCCCCTCTCCTGACAGTGCTTTCTGATTGGTCATCATCAAACAGCATCTGAAAAATCAGAACCAGGCCATTATTTTCCAGGATGAAATTGAATTAAGAAATGTTGTTAAATGAAAGATATCATTCCTGTTGTAGTCTAGGTAAGGAGATAATTTATAAGCAGACAATTTAAGAAAAGAACATAAATTTAGGGGAACTGCAAGGTCTTTTGAGTGCTCCTGAAAAGATGACTTTTCTCTCTTAAAAAAACCAACCTGGTTGCAAGGCTATACTGCAAGAAAGATCTGATAAAATTTTGACAGGTTTCTGTAAGTGTAAAGATGCTCAGTAGATATTTACTTAATAAGTCTTTTCTCTGTTGCTTTCTTCATTTCTAAATCATCCTTGGCTATTTTTAGAAAACTGTATTCGTAGATAGTTAAGGAACGTCGAGGTATGAGTGTAAGTTCCCAAAGAGCCATTCTTTCCTACAAGGAAACTCCTGAGTGTGTCAAAAAAAAAAAGGGAACACTTACCTAGGGAAGGGCCAAAGGGAGCTTAAAGAGTCACTGGCCAGATGTCAGAGTTTTTTGTTTGCTGGTGCCTTGTGGAGAAGATTGGTCTTAGTGTAGGAAGAATGCATCTACCACTCTTCCTTTTAAATGACCACTTGTCGCTTTAAAACCCTGTCATGCATTAGCCACCTTGTCCAAGTAACGGCTATGGCCCCAGAGCAGTTTTTGTGGAATAACTGTCCCCTCCCCCAAGCAAACAAAGATCTGAGTCACCCACAGTCTCCCTCTCCAAATAAAGGGCCTTGCAGTGGCTTCAGATTGGTTGCCATAAGAGGAAAGTTTTTCCTGTGTCTGGCACTGGGATGTCCCACGTCACCTCTCACATACATGAGCTGCTCGGGCTTCCAAAGGAAACAATAGCTCTGCCCAGTGTGTTCCAGGTGCAGGCAGCGCTTAGAACTCAGCGGCTTGTGACCGGCTATTCCTGAGCAGCTATTCAGAGGGGAAAACGGATTGATTTCCACAGGGGAGTAGTTAACAGTAATGAAGTAAATAATTGCCTCCTCACTGGGACTTTTACCGCCCGGAAAGCTGGCAACCCCAAGTCCCCTCTGTCTGCTGGTTCCGCCTGCCCTCGGTGGTTTGCCGGGCTGCCGAGGAGGGCCGAGTTCTCGCTCCGGGGCTGTGCCAAGCTCACCCCCGTGGGGTACAAGCTCTAGATGCTGTGCGCATTGCTGGAGGAGAGAGAATTCGCTGCCCTGGTGCTCATTAACCTCTGCTGGAATTTCGGGGCTCTGAGTCATTTGTTATTCTATAAGGGTAGACTTGGGCTGTTTGCCATTGCACTTTTTTTTCTTGATCCTTTTTGTGGTATCAGTCTGTCTTTAAAGAATTCTTTTTTCCACTCCCCAGGCAGAGAACCAATTAAAGACTAAATCAAATGGGCAGGTACTTAAATTATGAACATAAAAGTATATCTAGAACCTTCCAGAATTTTTTGTGGTTGACAATTAAAAGAATGGCAATGACTACTCTTTTTTTCTTAGCTATGAGCCATGCAGGTTTCTTGTTTTTTATCTCTTCCTCCTCCTCATCGTTTCCCTTATTTAAAAAAAAAAAAATAATAACTGGTAGGCCTCAAGCTAATATACCCGTGCTCATCTGGAAGCCACTAAAAAAACTGTTGATTGTAATAATGATGACTAACAGAAACCTGGGGGGTAGTGCCGGTTCGGGCCCTAAAGGGCTTCTGTCTCTGAGCTCTGCAGCTGACTTGCCCTAACTCCTCACGTACATGTTGTCATGAGCAGCAGATCTGTGCATTTTTAATATTTTACTTAATTTCTAGTGCCCCAAGTCTTGCCATTTTTTTCCTGTGTGGTTCGTTGGTTTTTTTTTTGTTTTGTTTTTTTGTCTTTTTGTTTTTGACGTCTCAGCAGAGCAGCAACTGATAGTTTCTCGTCACGCCGACATTTAGGTTAATGGCTGCCTGCTGGACCCTGTGCCTCCCGTCCTCGTGAGGAAGGGGTGCCAGTCGTTGCCCAGCAACATGATGGAGACGTCTATCGATGAGGGGCTGGAGACGGAGGGGGAGGCTGAGGAAGACCCCAGCCAGGCCTTCGACGCGTTCCAGTCCACGCGCGGTGGGCAGAGACGGCACACTCTGTCAGAAGTGACCAATCAGCTGGTCGTGGTGCCTGGTTCAGGTAGGCTATCAGTAGGCGCCGGGTGAGTCTTCCCAGCCCGAACCCTGCTCGTCTCCCAGGAAATCGCAGTGACCCCACCACTCAGGATGCTGCCTACGCCTTAGTCCTTTACGGAGCAGGCTCAGCGGGCTGTAGGATTAGGCCTGGTCAGCAGCCGCAAAGAGTCAAGTGAAATACGTCTGAGCCGGTCCCCAGCTGCCGAGATTCACGTGAGCGCGGTGCAATCCATCAAGGACTCTGGCCTCTCTGGGGTGTCAGAGATCTTACGGGCACACACCCCACTAAATTCGAAGCTGATTAAATTGACATGGAAAAAGTTTCTGGAAGAGTGTTTTGGGTGGAGATTGGAGACTAAGAGTGTCGGAGCTGTGCAAACTCAAGCTAGTTGTGCTTTGTATTCCACGTTCAAAGAAGGCTCTGTTTGCTGCTGGCCATATATCTTTTGGTTTGGTCTTTTTTTTTTTCTTTTTTTTCTCTTAAAGGGAAAATTTTCTCCATGAGTGACAACCCCTCCCTTGACAGTGTGGACTCTGAGTATGAGATGGGGTCTGTTCAGAGGGACCTGAACTTTCTGGAGGACAACCCTTCCCTTAAGGACATCATGTTAGCCAATCAGCCATCCCCACGCATGACCTCTCCCTTCATCAGCCTGAGACCTGCCAACCCAGCCATGCAGGCTTTGAGCTCCCAGAAGAGAGAGGCTCACAACAGGTCACCAGTGAGCTTCAGAGAGGGCCGCAGGGCGTCGGATACCTCCCTCACCCAAGGTGACTGGGGCTCATAAAACTCTCCTGTGGCAGGACTTGAGGGGGTTTGTGGCTACGTTGGTTTCACCTGTCTCATCACTGGAAGGCCTTGTGTTGTACTTCAATGTCTGGTCATTGTTCTTTCTTTCAGGAATTGTGGCATTTAGACAACATCTTCAGAATCTGGCTAGAACCAAAGGAATCCTAGAGTTGAACAAAGTGCAGCTGCTGTATGAACAGCTAGGGCCAGAGGCAGACCAGGACTTGGCCCCAGCGGCACCCCAGCTCCAGGACCTTGCTGGCCCTTGCCCTCAGGTGGGTGCCCCGGGCCCCTCCCACGGGGGCTCTATGAGGATGAGGCAGGAGTGTGTCCTGAAGGGTGTGTCGTTTCGTTTAGAAGATGGATTCCAGTCCCGGAGCAAACAGGTCGTTTTGGAGAACTCACAGCCCAGAACCTTTCCTTGTTGCTGCCACCTGCCACTGACAGGCTAGACCCACCCCCGCTGGCCCAGGTGACGACTGCCCTAAGGAGGTGTAGAGAGTCTCAAGCTATGTTTGGTTCATATGGCAGAAGTTATATGAACGACTTCCTACAGTGTCCCTTGAGCTCCCCTCCCCCATGCCTACACACAAAAACAGTAACTCACATGAATGTGAAGTTTCTGGCCATTGCTTTTTTTTTTTTTTTAGTTTATTTATTTTGAGAGAGAGAGAGAGAATGTGTGTATGAGAGAACAGGGGAAGGGCAGAGAGAGAGGGAGAGAGCATCCGAGGCAGGCTCTGCACGGTCAGCCCAGAGGCTGATATGGGGCTCGAACTCACGAACCCTGAGATCATGACCTCAGCCAAAACCAAGAGTCCAACGCTTCAACTGACTGAACCACTCAGGCTCCCATGCCATTACTTTTGATGTCACTTCATTAAATATTTTAAGTGGATTATTTATGCTAAAAATACCAAAAAATATTGCTGTTTACCCAATAAATTTTAGTTTGCGCCTGTTTTCGGTGCATCACGGGTATTACAGCATTTAATGGCCACATGAATGTACTGGCCTGTTGCTGTCAGGCGCCTTTGCCACAGTACTGACTGGGTAATCGTCTACTACAGATGATACATGGATACCTTTTTTTGCCAAGTGATTAACCTTCAGCCTACTAGTTACATAAAAAGCGTTAGGTATTAAGTCTGACAGAGTTGGAGTTCCTGTCGGACATTTGCCAAGGTGCTTAAACACAGAACTAAAACTTTCTCCCACATGGAGAATTGAAAATATTTCCATCCCCCTTGCTCCTCAGGAGGAAGTTTCTCAGCAGCAGAAAACGGTCTCCACTGTCCCCAGCAGTGTGCGTCCTCAGCTGTCCCCACGGCAAAGCCTGGAGGCCCAGTACCTACAACACAGACTCCAGGTGTGACGTTCCCCTTGTTACTGCCACTCACTATGCTCGCCCAGGATCTGCTTTGCAGCACAGCAGAAACGTTTTTTGCTTGGTGACTTTTCAGGGGAGATGCTGTATTGTCTATAGGCTGGTAGATGGACTCTGAATCTGTAGTTTCTAGAAACCTGTTCAGACTTAGCCTCGTGCTTGTATTGACAGCAGAAAAGGATTTGTCCTCAGGCTCCAGGCAAGAATCAGGCCACCGGTAGGAGTCAGAAACCCGGTTTCTTTGCTCCTAATGTTATGCATCGTAGTGAGTAATAGAAATCTCAAGCCAACACAATTTTAGTATCAGTTCTGTGCATTAATGCCTGAAAATCTTTAAAATCGATACACAAAGATCCCAGTTTATTCAGCAGGCACTAAGATCTTGGCTGTCAACATTTAACTCAACCTTTTCAGTTTTAAATCTCCACGACCCTTACAGTTCTAGAGGACTCTTAGAAATGGAAAAGCCACACTGGTCAAGCGGACACCACACAGGCCTGCTGGTGCAGGGCCACTGGGCGGCACGGCTCCCCGCCCCGGGTCTCAGGGAGGAAGTGTCTGTGCCCTTATTACCCCACGCAGATTCTGGAGGACACGGTTGACTTCGTCCTCTGGGCAACTCTGGGCAAGCGTACCGTGTGGTCACTGCATCCTAGGTGACATCATAGTGTCGTGCTCCTAATTCTTTTTCTGCTCTTCCAGAAGCCCAGCCTTCTGTCCAAAGCCCAGAACACCTGTCAGCTTTATTGTAAGGAAGCCCCGCGGAGCCTGGAACAGCAGCTGCAGGAACACAGGTGAGACAGGGAGGTCGCTGGAGGTGTCGTCCTTCCCCGCTCGGGATGGCGTTTGCCTCTGCTAAGTAGAAAATAGGTTTCAAGAAGTGATGACTGAGCTAGATGTTCCAGTGTCCCGGGATACTGGCGGCAGGAGACGGCGGCCGAAGTGTGCTGTTTCCTTACCCTTTCGGGTTTGAATAGACCTAAGCTTTCAGAATCTGTGACCTAAAGCAGTTTGAGTGGGTTATACTTCATCTCCCCGGGTGGTAATCCGTGCCCTCACGCCTGACCAGGAGTCACCCTAATCCGTCAACCTGCAGCTGCCCCCAGAGGCCAACTGGGTGGGGAACCCCCCCACCCCCACTTTGAAACACCCCGGTGGGAAAGGTGCCTCTTGCTTCACGGGGAGAAAAGCTCAGTCTTAGACAAAAAGTGTGTGCACTTCGGCACTGAGGGATCAGGATCGGGGGACAGAGAGTAGGAGGTAGAAGAAACCAAACAGTGGGTTCCTGGCCCGTTTTTTTCCTGCGCGGACAACAGAAGCGGGAGGGACGGAAGCGAATGACTGATCCTGGATTTATATTAAAATTGCTATCCCTGAGGAAGATTTAAACTTCTTTCTTTTGCTGTTGCCAATTTAGACTCCACCAGAAGCGACTCTTTCTGCAGAAACAGTCTCAGCTGCAGGCCTATTTTAATCAGATGCAGATAGCGGAGAGCCCGTTCCCGCCACCCCTTCCCCGCCAGGAGGCGTCTGCGCAGGCGCCGCCGCCCCCGCCCTTCGGCCTGGCCCAGCCCCTGAGCCCCGTCTTGGAACCCGCCCCCGAGCAGATGCAGTACAGCCCCTTCCTCGGCCACCAGTACGAGGACCTGCGGCTGCAGCCCCTGCCCTCCTCGCCCGGGCCCCGGGCCCCTGCGCTGCCCGTGCACCTGCAGCAGCAGCAGCAGCAGCAGCAGCCGCCTCCGCCGCCCCCGCCGCCGCCCCCGCAGGCGGGAGCCGCCCCCGCGCCCCTCCGCTTCCCTTATCAGACTTGCGAGCTGCCGGGGGCGGCCTCCCCCGAGCCGGACTATCCCCCGCCCTGTCAGTACCCCATGGATGGAGCCGCGCAGAGCGGCCTCTCGGCACAGGACTGTCCCAGGAGCTCAGGACTGCAGGAGGCCGCCTCCAGCTACGACCCCCTGGCTCTCGCCGAGTTCCCTGGACTCTTCGATTGTGAGATGCTGGAGGCTGTGGATCCACAGCACGGGGGCTACGTCCTGGTAAATTAACCTCAGCGCAGGAAGTGAGGCGGGTCAAGTGAGGGAAGAATGTGGATTTCAATTTTTTTTCCAGCCTTTTAAGTGTCAAGCTTACTTTCCTGCCCTCTCCCAAAAGGAGAAAACCACGTTGCCCAACTGGAATCAAGAGGGCCTGGCCAGGCGCGCAGCGCTTCCTCTTGGCTCTGTCTCACCGCGGTCTTGTGGGGCGAGGGGCTGGAACACGTCGGAGCTGAAGCCCGTGCCCTTAGATCAAGTGGAGAAACGCTGGTGGGAGGCGCTGACAGATGTTGTCATGAGACGTCCAGACCTAGGTTTCCTGTAGACCTACAGCAGTTCGTTATCGGGGGAAACCTTGGTGAACAGCTGTGTGCCATTAGATCTGGGCAAAACGAAACACAAAAAAAATGCAATATATTTTTCACTGAAGCCAAGCGACAGCCCGTCGTGTTCAGGCAGGTCAAGAATACGTAGTGGGATTTGACGCATAGGAAGGAAAATTGTGCTCCGTCACCGAATCCTAAGTTTGAAGCTGCTGATACAGGTTGTCCCCAACACCACTGCAAAGCAGGGGGACCTGAGCTTTGTTTCAGGGGCTGCTGAGTGACAGCCGGGACTGAGCCTTGATACTGGCAGTCGTCTCCACCCGGAGCAGTGACTTTCCCCCACCCCCTCCCTTTTCAGAGGTTTCTGGGGCTCCTACTCTGTCACCTGTAGAACCACGAGACCCACTGCAGTGGAGACCGGGGAGCACCGGCCCTGGGCCAGGGGAGGACGGGCTCTTCCCGCAGAGTCTTCTGTGGAGACCGCTGCTCCCGGGCGGTCAGTCTTCAGAGGGCCTTGCGGCTCTTTTAAAATGTAGTCACTACTTTGACTTTATACTCTATGTTGCTAGTAGTTTATGGAGCTTTGTACATTTGGACAGTTTCATGTAGGGCTTAGCAATTCTAAGGACAAGAAAAATGAACTTCGATCTCCCATGTGAAGTGGTAGTGCCGTGCCTTTTTTGCCCAGACCGTGCTTTAATTCTTTCTTTTCTGTAGAAACCAACAGTTTTCCATTTATGTCAAGGCTGAATCCAAAGTCCCTTCGGAGTTTGTTTTCCACCATGTGGGAATCGCGTTCTTCATTTCCTTCAAAGTTTTAACTTGTAATGAAATGTTCAAGTATTACAGCAATATTCAGAACCACAGATGTGTTAACCATCTAGCAGACCATCTGCCAAACACGTTCTAGGACTAGCGAAACGTAACCTTAACCCTTCCAATTCACTCATCAGAGGAAGTCAAAGCTAGATGCACCATCTAGTTCATTGTGTACCGAGAAGGAGCGAGTAACCACCCAGCATTCCTGACAGACGGTCGTTTGTCCTGTAGCCCGGCCTGTCCTAGCAGCAGGTGACTGGGCTGAGCACAAAGCGTCACAAAGCACAAAGAGAGACACTACACTGATGCTGCATCTAGAAACACCTTTAAGTTGCCTTTCCTCTTTGTAGTCTGCCCGAGCAGGTGAGAAGCCCCTAGCCTGGTATCAGGGAGGCGCTCTGC